TGCTTACTTGGTCTTCTTTCAAAATATGGGAAAAGCATTTATTGTGGTGTAAATGCCTCCAGACTTGCCTCCAAACAAAAACAAAAAAATCGACAGTAGCATCTGTGTTTAGCTGCTGAAGTTAAAAATCAAAATGTTTTCGGTTTCTATGTGAATTGATTAAAGTCGTAATCAAAGCTGATAATGAAAGGCAGCGTCCAAGCATGTGTCCCCAATGCTGTATTTAGCAGAAGAATTGCACCGGCTTGCAGAGTTTTCCAAGAGACCCATCACGAAGGTGGTTGGTCCCCAGCAATAGCAGGATGCAGATGTTCGCTGGTACCGGGGAGGGAGGGGGGCTGGTTTCTAGACAAACATCTCAGCCGCGAGTGCTCTATCTGCTTTCCCGCTTAAACATTGTTTTAATTACGCACCCAAAATTAGTTTCCACGTGTCCCCATGTGCCCAGGTTTGCCTGGATGCTGCCATTGAAAAATCGCTGCGTCCCAATTCTACCGGCACCGAAGGCGAATGGGACCCCTCCCCGGAACTCGCAAATCTCTGCTTCAGGGGTGCTCCAGATTTGGAGGAGCCCCGGAGCACCAGAATGGATGTGGAAGGGCTACGGAGCGCAAAGTGGCAGACCCCCGCCATTTGCCCTCCGGAGGTATCCCTTCGACTGTCTCATGCAGCGTTTACTTCCTCCCCAACGAAAAATAGCCCGTGCTGGATTGGGAAAGCTAGCTGGTAAGATTGAAACGAATTAGTTATGGATACGTCATTTTTTATTTTCATTGTGTATAAATAGACTGGTGGGAAGGGGGGGGGGTCTAAAAGAGGGGTGGAATTTGGAGTTCGATCTTTAAGTTTAGAAGAAAGCCGAATAGCAAATAATTGAAGAAGCCGATACAGATATATCATAGATTGCTATTTCTATTGCAACAGATATAGGCTGACTGATGGCTACATCAACAGTCAATCCATATTTTGTCGTGTCGTGTATGTATGATGAAACGGTTGAATGTGTATACTGGGCTGATCTGCTTCCAAACTTTTACTGAGGCTCCTGTTAGAGCGCCGAAGCCACGCTAGCGCTGCGCCGGCGCCGAGCCAGCGTCGGGCCAGCGCCGAGCCAGCGCCGAGCTTCCCCGGCGCTATTTCGATCGATACATATGTATTTTGTTGGGGCGGGGCTAGCTGACCTAGTTCTCAGCCAGGTAAATGCACCGACTATTGATCGAATTTGCCAGAAGCTCCGGTAGCCCTTCCCTGCACAGGGTCATCTAGCCCCGCCCGGAACAAACGGGACAGCTCGGCGCTGGCTCGGCGTCGGCGCAGCGCTGACGTGGCTTCGGGAATCTGGCAAGGGTCTGAAGTCATAAACCAGACAAAAAACTTGACAAACGCATGTATTTACCAAGGATGACCATCATTATTCGTAAATCGTTTTGCAGTGTTTTGCATACGGTCCATACAATCTAGCTGTACTTTGAAGATACCCTGCTATATCTGAGCAAAATTTAGTGTTGTTGTATAGTGGATTTTGTAGTATTTTATTTGCAACAAAAATAAAAAGGGGGAATCTGGATTGCATCTAAATTTCTTCGAAACTATGAAGCTGTCTATCTTGAAAATCCGTGCCTTTTCATTGCGTCTACGTGATATACAAAATTGCAAGCTGACTAAGTTTCCAGTTTCCTCCATAACTTTTCTCTCTTTGAATTGGGGCGTTCAAGCTTCAACATTATAGACTGCATATGTGCTACAAGTAAGTTTTATTTTTGTTGACATTTATAAATTTTATTTTTGTTGACAAAATAGAAGAAATTTAGGTATTTCTTCAGATCTACAAAAATTTGAGATTTTACTGGATTGCGAGCAAATACCGAAGTTGTTCGCGAAGTTGTTCGCGCGTAAATCAAACAAATCGACCCAGAACAACTATAGATTATTGTCAGAGATTGAATCATTGAGCTCTATAAAAAGTACAAGTAGCTGGAGACTTTGCGAGATCTGGCACTCTCGGAAAGTTAAACAGCGCAGCCGAACGCTTTAGCAACGTCCGTAAAAAACTAATGAGTAAAATCTCACAATTTGTCGATATGTTGTAATAGGTAGTTCTACATGCTGGACATGACTGCAATATTGATTTGCCGTCAAATTAGGAATCTTTTAGGACCAGCAAAAAGGCATTGTTGTGCCAAATGGGTACAATTTTTGTAATCAGCTTGTCGAGAGACCCCCCTAGATACAGCTGTGTAACGATCTGGAAAAATTCGTAGATATTTTTTATTCTTTAACTTTACACTATAGTTGGAACCGATTATTCATATTCGAATGATTCATTCGAGATATTCGACTATTCGAATATTCGAATACTCGAATAATTGGGAATGTTCGCTAACGATTTATTGAATAGGCGAACATATGGAAATTGCTTGTATTCGAATAATTTGTTCATTCGACTACTTGGAAATCACTGATCCGTTATTCGAAGACTCGAGGAATTTACAAGACACTTATTCGCACGTTCGAATATGCGAAAAGTTTCGAAAAACGGTGAGAATATTCAAATACCCAATTAATGCATTTGAATACTCAAGTATTGCATTCGAATAATCGAATGTAGCATTTAAATGTTCAAATATTCATTTATTCGAATAGTCAAATATTCGACCAATTTAGGTTATTCGAATGTTCGAAAGTTCAAATTTCAAATGTAGATGTATTCGAATATTCTCAAGTAATATAAAAATTGGAAATTGAGTAAAATTCGTTTCTTCGCAAAATTTTACAAAATTAATTGTTCGATATTCACTTTCGAAGAATTTTCGAAACGAAAATAATCGAAAACGATTCGTTCAAGAAATCTTCAGAATCCAATTATTCAATATCCGTTCATTAGATAGAAATTTCGTTACAGCTATACTGCACATCTCCCGCAACCCTCGCACGCTTCGCGAAAATTTGAAGTACGCTGTACTTGTCATCATTGTCTAAACATTGTCAAGATATGAGGGTACCACTTACAGAAAAGTTATGGAAAAAGTTGCAAAACTTGGTTAACAGCCTGATAAATTTGTTAGTCGCTCTAGATTTTTTTGACCACATTGCTTCTAAATCCTCGTAATGTTTCCTCCGATTGTCCGAGCGCTATACTACGCAATCGGTTCATTGCAGCCTCCACGGCTGAAGTGAATTGCTCTGTATTCCTGATTTCTTGGTTGTTATTTTATCTCAATTCTAGTTCATAGTTGAGCGTTTAGGCAAGTTTCAGTCCAAAGTCCTTTATCAAAACGACAGTACAGCCAAATCTTGGTAGAGTTTCCCGAATTACACATCTACGCAGATTTATTTTGCGTGACTTATGAGCAATCAAGCGTTATTCGCATTATCTCCAGGGTCAAACAAGGGGTGTGGCACACGATCGCTGGTTAAGACCCCCCCCCCCTGATTGCTGTCTTAATAAGACCCCCCTTTGAACTATACACTTAAGATAGTATTACTTTAAGGCCCTGTCAAACATAATGGGCAACATAACCATAATTAGCATGTCAAATAACCCCTGTAGACAAAGTGTGAGCGAATTCGGAAGATTCAAGATACTAAACTACCTAAGTGAAATGGTCAAATTCCGACATGGTTAACTTTGTTTTAAAGGTGAATTAGCTATCCGTTTTTGCACTCAAGACAAAGCACTACTCCTTTTTTGTCCACCTCAGAAATCCCGCTTCAAAAAGCCTCCAAACTGTGGAATTAGAAGCCAACCAAAATCTCATTTTTCCCATTTTTCGCTTTTAACGGCTGTGCTTTCACTAAATATCACTCAGAGCAAAAAAAACGAATCAGGCTCAAATTGCTCCTATGAGAACTAGGAGATCTAGGCTATCGATTCATATAAATAACGTTCGCTAAATTTTTTTGATATAGTTAATGGGGTGCGGCACACCCCCTTAAAAGCTGCGGCGGCCGCAGCTTTTAAGGGGGTGTGCCGCACCCCATTAACTATATCAAAAAAACATTTTTAGGACAGTACTTATATGAATTGATAACCTAAACCTTGTGGATTCCATAGGACTGTTTGGAGCCTGATTCGTCTTCTTAGCTCTGAGTAATATTTGGTGAAAGCACAGCCATTAAAAGCAAAAAATGGAAAAAAACGAGATTTTGGTTGGCTTCTAATTCCACAGTTTGGAGGTCTTCTGAAGCGGGATTCCTGAGGTGGACAAAGAAGGAGTAGTGCTTTGTCTTGAGTGCAAAAACGGACAGCTAGTTCACCTTTAAAACAAAGTTAACCATGTTGGAATTTGACCATTTCACTTAGGTAGCCTATATTTTGAATGTTCAGAATTCGCTCACACTTTGTCTACAGGGGTTATTTGACATGCTAATTATGGATAGGATACGAATATCATGTTACTATTATCGGATTACCCAACTACGACCCCTCCCCTTTTGACTCCTCAATACGACCCCCCAGGTGTGGCGTGCCGCACCCCACGCTTGACCCTGATTATCTCCCAATTTGTAAGTAGATTTCTCTTCCTCTTACTTAATCGTAAAAGGGGCACCGAATCACATTAAACGCTTGACCCTGAGTAGATTGTCTAAGCTCAAAATCGTGCTTCGTTTACGACACTCGTTGCGAAAGTCGCATTCGCACTTGACCCTAAATCCACCTACACGACCTGTATTTTGCACTTCACAAAACTCGAAATTCAAACCGGGACCAATTATAATTACAACAGAAAATTTTCAAATAAACTGATAGTTCCTGACTTTGTGATCTTTGTGTGGTGCGAAAACAATGAAACATAGTACGTTAACTCAAACATACCGTTGACGCAAGAACTGGCCGTAGATCGCAGAACACGCTCCGCGCAACTAAATGTTTGTTTCAGTACAATTGCTACAGTAAAACCCGCTCTCATGACTTTCGCCCACGCTACGCGTGCTTCGCATTCTACGGCCAGTTCGTGCGGTTAAGACTCCACGATAGCATTCAGTACTAACTAGCTCACCGTTTGGCACAAAGACGATTTCGCCAGGCTTCTGTCTACATTCGTAGACTGGATATCTGAGAGCCGGCCAATCGCCCCGATGTATGCGTCGGTAGACAGAAGAAAACCAGGTGATCGATTCTTTTGGGTAAATTCCGCCTTCGGCCATTGGAGTCTGCACGAATTCTCGAGGTGCATCCGGATGGATGAAGACCCACCTGTGTCGAAATAACTTTGGTTAGTAGTAGCAACATTCATATTACCTCTTGTGTCCTTGAATTAAAGCGTGCCAAGCGCTTGCGCCAAGTGCGGTTACGTTTACATTTGTTCCTGCTCGAGCGGGGCCGATGATAATTTTCCTTAGTGACTTCTCATTGATGTAACAGTGTCAACCTCCACACATTCAAACTAGCCTGTTTGGCAAGCTATTTGTCTCTGTTCTCAATAGATCAAACAAGTCTTCTTGGAAGATTTCTGGCACTTCATAGTCTCTCAAAAGGGTTTTTGTTCCTTCCTCCTGAAAATCTCACAACTGTTATCTCAAGACTTTGTGCTAGAAGATTTTTTGTAAAGAATATAATTTGTCGAATTTTTGTAACATTATCAGCAACATGTTACCCGACTCTGTGTAAATGTAACTAATAAGTAATAGCGAGCACAAAAACGAAAGATCAATGTAATCTGCGCTCCCACAATCTTATGAGATTCTCAGTAAAATTTGATTTTTGTTATAAAACATTTTAAGACAAACTGTGAGTGCTCGAAGAATTTAGGTCTCAAGAAATTACCCCTGCAATCCATTTGAGTAGAGTTTCATGCTTTTGAGTTGAGTTTGAGTTTCAGTTTTCTTTTGAGTTTCATGCTCAAGCATTGGTCACTCCATCACCCTTATTTTAACGTATCGTAATGAACTTCTCGCAATTTCTTTTTCGATAAAGTTTCTATAATAATACTTCAAATAAGTATCACTGCTCCACGTACCGACAACTGTTATTTGGTAGGTTAATGAAAACTATTAGGTTGTCCCGAAAGTTTTGTCGTTTTTTTTCATCGATCACTAAATCACAGAACGCAATCCATGGACGATCTAGGTACCATTTAATTTATATTCTTGTCGCCTTACGTCTATGTTTGCTTTCTGATCTACCTGTCTTTGCGATGTTATCGCCATGGCGTTTGAGCAGCTCAACAATATAGCAACCTTCACGGAATTTCGAAAATTTTTATTTTAATATTTCAAAAGAGCGCTTCTAGCTGTCAAACTTTTGGCTACATAATACCCATTTTCGATCATATGGGTCACGTTTATCAAAGCCGCGATAATTATTTATTTTGGAAAAACCGTGGTTTTTTAATCGCTTTTACCACATGAAAGTATTGAAAATTCGAGCTGATGCTCAGAAGCAAATCAAACTTGGTTATGCTGCAAAATAGGGCTTAATAACAGTTAACAAGTAACAAGTTTTAATTCGTAGAAAGCTTTCATGTTTTTTGCTACAGCTGCGTGTTTCATGACTTTGCCAAAAACCGAGACCTCCAAAGAAAAATTTTTTCATAAGCTAAGAACAGCCGAATAAGAGCATCTAATAGCAATACCGCATAGTCCGAGATTTGCTCTATTCGTGCCATACTTAATTCGTAACTTTGGAATGAAATTTTTGAAAATTAGCCGAACTTTGAGCAGATAGAGTTAATGGTTGAAGAATTTTGACAATTATCAAAAAAAGCATAAGTATTGTGATCTAAATAGCCATCCATAAAAAAGAGGAAAAAAAGTTGCATTGAATGCATTTTGAAAGTCATTCAGGTCTTTATTCGTGATTATAGTCGTTTGAAAAAAAACCGACAAAACTTCCGTGACAATCTAATATTTTCGCTATCCTATATGCCAAGCGGTGCTCTTTATAAAGTGAGCGTGTTATCACAGCAGTGGCTCAAATAATTGCATTATTTGTGCTCAAATTGCCGCACAATACGAGCAGCAACATACATAGCAACATCAACAACAACGACATGAAATGTCTTGGGTAAAAGCAATGGAACTGACAGAATTGAATTCAAAGAGAGAGCACCACTGCCCCTGCTGCCCTTGTAACAAAACCGAATCGTAGCCCTTAAGGGTTAACATTAGTGTCCACATGCCTGCTTCTGTTCAATAGTTTCTAGGGCAGGCATGCTTGAAAAATTAGCTTACACAGTCTACAGCGCAGCGATAAAGATGGCTAACTGTGGAGCAAAAGGTAAGATGCTTGAATCCTTTCACATTTGACCATAGTGGGCGACAACTAACGATTATGAAACGATTTAAGCAATTTGAAAACTATAAAGTGTTGTCGTTAGTGTACAGAATCAGTCGCAATAGGGATTAGCTGACGGCCTATATAATACGGTCTCAGGTACAGTCTTTTTTAACCCAATGTCTCACTGTACAGTCTAGTCTCAGCGTACAGTCTTTCTTAACCTAGGCCGAAGTTATACGAAGCAGCAAGCCCGCTTCGCCGAAGGCTATATAAGCGCACAGCGCTGACATTTTGCCGACTGGAAGCGAGGAAAAGCCGCAGATATGGGTTCTTAAACGATATGATATACTGTAAGTGGCAGCGTAAACTGTTGATGGCGGACGCCCGCCAATCCAATTTTCGTCTGACTGGGATGAAACTTACAGTAAGTATCACGCCCCAGCGGTTAGGTCGGGCCATTGCGTCCGCCCTTCGGGCCTTGAATCGTAACTGAGAAAAGCTAATGGTTGAACTCAGTAGATATCTGGTGCCGGCGAGTTGGCACACATTCCGGGAAGTTGCGAATTTCGGTGGCAGCCGGCGGATTTCATAGGTTTGATAATCTTATGTAATCTTGGGACCGTACGCACTAACATCCTTGCGACGGGAGAAGCGGCGTCCGCTGCGGCTTTTTCATCACTGGGGATGCCGCTTCTCTTGCCGCAGGAATGTTAGTGCATATCGGCTTAGTCTGCAATCAATCCGCACATAAAAATTTGATGACGCAGAAGAAGCAAAATTGCGGCACGGCGTGCGTTCGAACCTGCATGCGTTAACTTCAGTCGTCCCAGCACTAACCAATGGACCATTCGGTCAATTATTGTCACTTGCACCAGCAATGGGAGAAATGCACGGTAAGTGGCCGCGTGTAAAATGGCATGATCAGTACATTGCGTGAGCGACTTTGACCTGAAAGAACAGCGTTGATAGAGTGAGGGCGAGGCGAAATCGGTGCAAACAAGATTGAGAAGGGGGATCGCAAAAAAGGCGGTGCTCTTTATGGTTTTATGGTATCACTAGAATTTTTTCTGTAGGAGTATCGCCGATTCAAAAGACTCATAACGAAAAAATTATAGTTCTTCGATGGAAAATGAAATTTTTCTAATTCTTTCGCCTGACGCAAATTGTGTGATATTGCCGCATCACACATTCACAAATGCCGCCAGCAGGTGCCAGCACTTCGACGTGCCTTTACCACGTCGAGATGTCGGCACCTTGTTCTCTCAAAAGAGCACGCTATTTCCCCTGCTCTCTGACCTGCCTGCAGCTGCCACCTCGCAAATTTCGCAGGTTACCGGCAACTGAGCTCGCAAAGTTGCCGCAGCTCCTCCTGCGCTTCTAGATATTTTCTTACAGAGGAATTTCTGGAACTTCAAACATTGATGGAGGTTTCTATAAAGTCGCGGTAGCACCTTCTTACAGGAAATTCTTGAAAAAAGGCTTGGGACGGCCTAGATTTGAGATTTTAGTTTTTGGCGATCTCACGGTGAAGTGCCAACGAACTGCCGGCAGACCTGCCGCCAGGTTGGAAAATCACTATTTGTCTCTGGAGTTAGAGTGACTCGATCTGGAAGTGATGGAAATGTAAGTGCAGAACAGAACATCACAGTTTAGACAACATAATGAGGCACCAAACAACGTTTGTACATGCTCGTGCTCCAAGCATTCAAGTCAACCAGTAATTGAGGAATTGTGGCAAGGCTTATTAACGGAACGAAGTAAAAAGTCCAAAAACCGCTCCTGGAGAATCCACATTCTCTAAAAGCTTGAGAGAGTCCATCGAATTGGACAATGTTGAGGCACCCAATTACTGCGGCGTCAAACTCATGGTAAAACCTACGGTGTCTATTGCAACTCTCCGTTGAAGACAAGTAAAAACAGCTTTGGACATCTCGTAATTGCACTTCAGTTGCGCCGCACAGACCAGACAAATCATAAAGATCGAGCAACTTTATGGAACTTTACGCAACAGTCTCAAGACGTGCCAAAAACATTGGAAGCAAGTTTTCAAGTTTTCACTTTAAAGAGACTGAAATGAAATGAACACAGACAAAAATTTTGTGTCAAATTTTCCTGTGCGAATCCTGAAACCACCTACGCGATCGTCATAGAAGGAAGCGTAAAAAGCGATTACTTCGATATTTTGAAGATCCAACACTCACTGCAAGAAACATCCACACTTACAATGGAAGACATTCGTTCAAAGCAACTTCCATACGAGCAACCATCAAACCACATGTATTGAAGTTTGAGGTAGGGGGAAAAAGGATATTTTGAGCAGTCTCGATTTTTGCAAACGGCAAGTTTTCATTCGCAAGTCTTCAGTACACAGCAAAGAGCCAAAACTGATGATCCTTCCTAGATTTGTTTGCAATGAGAACGCTTGGAAGAGCGATTCAAAACATAAAGTTCGAATTTGGAACATCTCCGCCATTACGTTAACGTCTTGGACCTTGCAAGAGCAATGCGATCCTTGCCTTTTTCCTCGAGAACAATATCCAGCTTGCTTTCGTGCAAAATGTGCCGCCACAGACTAACCAGACTGACCCAAACTCTAATTTTGTATTCTCGATTCCGCCAAGTGCATGCGTGCAGCAAAAGATTTTAGACTTTCAGTATACCAAATAGATGGTTGTGAGAGTTAGCAACTATAGACATTGCTTTCATTTCTTCGCAATGCAAAGTTTTGTGAGATTTCTTGAAAATCATTCTCATTAGGTTGGTTAAAAATTCCTTCAGCTGCAACATCATTTTCATTTAGTTGGAACGCAGAGTTCTGTAAGATTTTCTGAAAAATCGTTCTCATTGATTGGCCAAACGTTCCCAGACAAAAATTTTTTTACAGCAAAAAATATGCACTACGCGCTTGTACAGGCTTCGAGAAATCACGGAAGCGCTCTTTTTCCGCACTTGGCTTGAGGTTAGCATGAGAGATCATGTGCACGAAATAAAATGGTATACTTGCAAAAAGGACTGAAGGTTTTGTGAATTTTCTGCATCTTATGTGAGTGTAACTCGTTGAGTGTAAACTTTACCTCGCCAAAGGTCTCATCGTTTATGCACAAAGGACTGTCATCGTCTTCATCTACCATGTACTCAGCGAAATACTTATATCTGATGTAAAGTGAGCATCCTTCGGGAGTTTCACCACACTTGAAGTACTCATTTGAGTAGTTCCTCAAGAACTTCTGAAATAGTGTTATTTATAAGCTTTCTCTCAATAATAGCCGCTACGTATTTTACCTCAAAAGTCCAGTTTTTTCGAGCTTTCCACCGCTCCGTCAAGCCAGCGATCACGCATGGAACACGAGGTACCTCATACTTTTGGCGGAAATCCTTCAGACTCAAAGTCAAACCATCAACTCTCGCCATATCCTCTTGTAGAGCAGGTAGTTTGAAATTCTTTGCTAAGTTCATTGCATCCCACCCAATTTTTTCAAGGTCTGCGTGGCAAAGAAGTATTGGTTGCATTGGTTTTCTCTCTCGCTGTTACTCACCGGGTCGCAACCTATCCTGGATTTCTGATACTCTTCTTTCGCTTTTTGTGTAATACATGCGCTGCAATCCACTGATGATGGACTCCTGAAAATATCTGATACAAAAGAATCAAAGAAAGGAGGTGAAGGTGGATAGGTGAAGTCTACAAAGTATTATAATGGCTAAAATTCCCCTTCTCATTAAAACGCCTGCCAACCTTCAAACACCATTTTTTGTGGATTCATCTCGACTCGCTTTCACATTTAAAAAGAAAAAGACTGACAGCTTTGCTTTTTATATACTGTAACAAGATATTCCATACACTTTGGCGTTCACTTATGCATTGATCTTACTCATTTCTGCCATCAGATGCTAGCTTCAAATTAGCTGAAAAGATTTTGAAAAGACCTCGCAATCACCTAGATCCCTATGCGCTACTTCTATTGATGAAAAGACAAATAATTCTGCAGTTTCAAAGCAAACCGAGAATTCAATCACGACCACAGTTACCTCCTTCCTCCTTATGCCTTATCCTCGCGCGGATATTAAGATAAGTGAGGCATAATGAAAACCTTGATTAGTTTTTTACGGATACTGTGATATTCAAGATGTGTTTCGAGTTCATATCAATATGTCTTCTCCATTTACTTCAAATCGATAACATGCTTATAAAAAAGCTCTGAAACGCGCGCTTTTGTGTTCTATATGTCCAAGTACATGGACGATAAGCGAAAAAGAGCTTTATTTTGTATAACATCAAAGTCATAGTATAGTAATAATAGTATTTAATAATCATAATATATTAGGTTATCCGGAAAATAATGTCGCATGGCGTCCTACCGCAACAGAATGACCATAAAAAATAGGAGTGGGGTATAACTTGATAGAGCAAAGCAAGCTCTACAGGATAGTTTACAAACCTACGTGGAAATCGCGCTCCACCTGGAGTTCGAATCCAAAATGTAAAATTTTTTAGATATCCGAAAAGTCGTATCTCGGTTCATAGACGTCTTATGGATCTCCAATTTGCACAGGCATGTACTCTCTACAATAAACATTCACCTGTGAAGTTTGTGGTATTATTCCATGGCTACAGTACGAGAGGTAAAAAGAGGTCAAAAGTGCGAACATGTCGCGTTTTTCGGTTTTTTTGCAAATATTAGGTTGTCCGGAAATTAATGCCCGTTCTGAATTTCAACCGCAATAAGTCACACACTTCTCATTTCTGAGTAGGTTGCAAAGAATCATTAGATAGAGCAAAGCAACCTCTACAAGATGGCCTTCTTGCTTTTGCAACAGCTCTCATCCATTTCGAGTTTCGAGCCAAAAACTAAAAAGACTCAGCAGCCCGAAAAACCGAAAAAAATCGTAAATCACGAGGGAGAGTTTCCAAGTCAGCTCGGCCAACCCGGATGAGTCATATATCCCCGTAACGGGTTTGAAATGCTGATTCCAAATCTGCTTTCCTTTTCTGTGTAGCAACTCTCCGAGAGAAGTTATGAGGGTTTAAAAGTCTAAATTTGTCATGTTTAAAGTGGCTTAAAATTGGCGAAACCTGTACAGTAACATATGAAAGTGATTTATCAGTTTTGTAACAAGTATATTGATTACAAGGACGGAACACAGATAATGAAACACCGTTAGGTGTTGTTTTACAGTTTTCAACAGATTTTAAGCCACTTTGAACATGACAAATTTAGACCTTCAAAAGCTCATAACTTCTCTCGGAGAGTTGTTCCGCAGAAAAAGAAAGCAGATTTGGAATCAGCATTTCAAGCCCGTTACGGCGATATATGACTCATCCGGGTTGGCCGAGCTGACTTGGAAACTTTCCCTTGTCAGTTCATAAAAACCCTACAAAAATTCTAACTTGCTCACGTAAACACTATCCATCTAAGACATATACATACGCCATTGTATTTTTTCCTCTGTTAAAAATCAAAAACGGATATTTTCGTGCATTTGCCAAAGTGATGCTGTGCCGTCCCTACATAGGTAGTTGTACAGTACAAACCTGTAGAAGTATAAGCGTAAATTCTCAGCTCTCTACAAGCTTTAGTTCTCGAGAAATATGAATTTTAGCTTGGACCACCTAACTAGGGAAAGCTATATTCGGTATTTCTCGAAAACTAAAGCTTGTAGAGAGCTAAAAAGTTAGGTCTGTACTTCTACAGGTTTGTACTGTACAGCCTATGTGGGGACAGCACAGCATCACTTTGGCAAATGCAGAAAAAATTCCGTTTACTTGATTTCTAACAGAGGAAAAAATACGGCAATGACGTATGTATATGTCTTAGATGGAGTGTTTACGTTAGCAAGTTAGAATTTTTGTAGGATTTTTATGGACTGAGTTACGATTTTTTTCAATTTTTTGGGCTGCTGAGTCTTTTTGGTTTTGGCTCGAAACTCGAAATGGAATGAGGGCTGTTGCAAAAGCATGATGGTCGTCTTGTAGAGCTTGCTTTGCTCTATCTAACGGTACTTTGCAACTTATTTGAAAGTGAGAAGTGTATGACTTATTGCGGTTTAAATTCAAAACGGGCATTAATTTCCGGACAACCTAATAATTTGATTTTTCTCAAAAACTAGCGCTTGTTCAAAGCTGAAAATTCATGGTTATACTCCCAAGGTTCATGCTATAGAATCACCCATGTGAGAGAAGCTCAGGATTGTTTTGACAAAAATCTGCCGAATTTCGTTTTCTTAATTTTCAGCCATGGAAAAACCGCAAAAATGTGCACACGAGTGTCTCGTATAGTGTGTCCATGCGTGAGCAAGTTAGGGGTTCCCAGGACTTTTCTGAACAGAAATATGATTTTTTTTTGTTTTTTAGGTCTTTAGTGCCTTTAATGTCTTTGTCTTTAATGTGAAATTTGGCTCCAAACATCACGCAAATCGAACCTGACGCAAAGGCTCGAGATTCATTTTGTAGAGCTTGTTTTGGTCTATCGGTTGGTACCCCATACTTACTTTCGTGCTCAAGCTGCCGCGATTTTGCATCTTAAGATTTAGCATCCGGAGGTTGGCTGGAACATGTTGCACGAATTTCGTCACACACACACACACACACACACACACACACACACACACACACACACACACACACACACACACACACACACACACACACACACACACACACACACACACACACACACACACACACACACACACACACACACACACACACACACACACACACACACACACACACACACACACAAACGTAAACAACCCTTAGCCCGTTATTATAAGTTATGACAGTAATAATAATATAATAATCATTACTCATAATAACGGGCTAAGGGTGTTTACGTGTTTTTGTGTGTGTGTGTGAGTGTGTCTGTTACGAAATTAAGCGTGTTCCAGCCATCGTCTAGGGTCCAAATTTTGCATATCGCAAGCTATCATCATACAAGTCCACCAGGCAAAATTACGACCGGATGCGCTGAGTGGATCGCTTATAAACTGAGCGTCAAGCGGGTCACTTGGCTTCTGGCCCGCAAAGTTGGGTCCGTACCTGCACTTTTTGCAGAGTCGCAGATGTGTTTTGCAAGTGAATGTGCAAGCCATGGACTTAGGCCCAAAAAAGTGATCAAAAGTCTATTACTTTACAATAACGGCGCCAAAAGAATGGTTTGCGTGATTGGTCAATTTGCCATGGTTTTAACTGAGCATTTGACAAGATTTTTGCACAAAGATGTTGCTCAAGGTGGTTACCGTTCTTATTGCGACAACCAGAATAATGGGAAATTCAAAACCCATACAAATTTGCGTTTTTTCTTCTGCAAAATGCTTCGTCCACTCGAAATCCCGATCTCACGTGAAAAAGCTTTCTAAATGAGTAGTTGTTTGCATTTTATTCGTGATAGTCGGCATTGCGCGGTGAGTTTCAATGCCGTCATTATACGAGAATGAGTAGGCAATTAAGATAGTAGAACCAGTGCGAGCCTCTGCGAAGAAGAGGTGACGCACCACTGGTATAATATAACTAGCTAGCTTACCCGGCTCAGACCCTGTCAAGAACGATAAAGGTTCCACTTCTATCCCTGTACACCTTTATCTGTGCCCACTTCTACATGCAATTCCCCATTCCCGCTGTGTTAGTAATCAGTATGCTCACCTACCTTCCTCATCAAACCCCCAGCCCCGTAGCTCAAACTTTGCAAAAAAAAACAATAAAATTGATAAAAGTAAGAATAATTCTAAAAACTAATAGCGTTATTCGGCTATCCAGGCCCTAAAATTTTTGTGGTGGGTCTCGCTCAAACTCGGTATATGGGGGTTATACAAGCCGTTGATGGCCGATATCGTAGTCATTTCGCGTGGCAGCGGGGTAAAAATCATAAACCTGCCTGAAACCTTGGCAGGGAATTACCTAAAGTGCTATTTCAAGAATATCGTGCTCAATCCCCACGATAATGGCAATTCGTGTGGTATAAAAGTTTCCAGCCACCGTAATGCTTTCCTTATAGGACCGCTGCCGCGCGCGATACACCCTTCGGTGGCTTTTGCTTAAGCAAAAACAGGGGGGAGGGAGATTTGCCGCGTTCGTTAAACTTTAGACAGGTCATCAGGATGGCGCTGGAGACCGCCATGCAAAACGACAGTTTCCCCATTTCGTGAATATCTGGGATATAAATTGGCTTGAAAGCGAAACAATGTCCATTCAAACCCTGCAATTTACCATAACTTCACTATGCCTTATCACAGCGAGCAAGTTTCATCTTCATTACTTGTGAACCGTTACAGGTAAGGTTTTAAACAAATCTGGAACTTCGACCCCTCCACACCCACTGTAACCCAGAGAATGCACTATCCTGCGAAATCAGCAGATATTCATGTTCAGCGCGCTAAATGATTACCCTAGACGAAGTCTGAAGCAGTTTGTTTTCGACCCCATACCGTATAACCACCATAACTCTATGAAAAGGTCCCAATATGCAGAGAGATTATGAAATTCATAATCAGCATGTCGAATAAGTTCTCTGGACCGAACTCCAGCCGAATTCATGATTTTGACTTCCTACCGTACACCTACTGTAACCACATGGGGAGCGTTCTGCGAAAAGAGTGTGTTATCTGTAATCAACATGTAAGATAACCCTTATACATGAAGTTTGGGCAAGCTCTACAACAAAAAAAATTTTGGGGCCCGAATAGCCGAATAACGCCAAACTAATATTGTATCCGTAATCAGCATGCTCGATTACCCCCCTGCGCCAACTCCCAGCCCCGCAGGTCAAACTTTACAAAAAAATCGATAAATTTAATAAAAGTAATCGATAATTCCGAAAACTAATATTGTTTTCGTAATCAGCATGCTCGATTACCCTCCTGCGCCAACTCCCAGCCCCGTAGGTGAACTCTGCAAGAAAATCGATAAAAATCGATAAAATCGATATCGATCGATGACGAAATGTAGCCTATGACACCCGCCGGGGCCCGAAGTGTATGTGTGCCAAGTTTGGTCCGGATCGGTCCAGAAATGGAATTTTCTATTCGGAACATACGTACAGACAGACAGACAAACAGACATTCAGCTTCATATAAAAGATGTAATAATAATATAGTATAATAATGTAACATAATTTAATGTAATGTAATATAATATAGTCATTATCTTCAATGTAGTCATTCACTTCACTATTCACTTCACTTCCGATAACCGGCTGTGGAACATGGGAAACGCCCCTTTTGAATCACTCGCTATCACGGCGCGCCTCTGATTGGTCAACACGTTCACTACCATTGACAAGGCTATGAGCAGGACGAAGCATCATTTTTCTGCATCGTTCGTGTCCAACATGATGATAGGTTTTGGCACACGTATATTACATGCTTCAAACTAAGGAGTTTTCCCGTTGACCATGAATGCGACTTGTTAGCTTTGCCAGCGGCGCCGCACGCGGCGAAAGAGGCATCGCGCGCGAAGGGTTCAAAAGGGCACACACCAGTAGAACATTGCTAATAAAATGACGGTACGGCTGAGTTTTCTGTCTACCATCATCATTGTAATATCCTGTTTCGGCTGAGATAGCCTGAGCCACTTCTACAAAAAAGCATGATGTGTGGAAAACGCGGAAAGGAATGCTCCAGATAAACGTTACTATTTTTGTGCACAATTGCTCAGAGCTATGGAAGATAAACGCGAATGCCCCGTTCAAACAGGTTCCCACAAAAATTTCATGACATTCATGAAAACACCAATCTAGGTGAGTCTAACGCAATTAACTAAGGATTGAGAGGGAAAAAGAAAGGAGAGTGCATATCAACAACTTCTTCTTTGTATCGGTTTGTGCTGGAACGAGAGAGTTTCAAAAAGATTTGCAAGCAAGTGTGAGATCTACAAAGTGCATTTAGATCACGGAACCCCCCGAAAAATCCAGGAATTCTCCATGCGAATGTCAAACCGGAGGAAGAAATGAAGCATCGAAAAACCTCCTTTAATAGAATCAAAAAGTAAAGGACAAGTTATTAGGGGCACGGTTTGACAGTATTACCAATATTTAGATTTCGGAGAAGATGTTTCGGAGAAGGAGGCATGATGAATTAAAGCCCAGGATGGACATCATTCTTGAAGATTTTAAATGAGCTCTCAAAGATCGAAAGTTGTTGTGAACTACAAAATAATTCATTGAAGGTTTTACAAGAATCTAGGAGAGACGGATGAAGAAAGAGACAAAAATTTGAATGATTTGAATGAATTGACACAGCAGCAGAGAGACTGGCGCCCTCGCCTCTTTAGGTGCCTGCAAATGGCGCTGTACGTTTATGAAAATCGGATTTACCATTCTACATATTGCGTTTCTCAAATTTAGGCGAGATGTGAGGTCTTACAGTTTCGAATCGGATGGATGGGTCCCTAGCGATGTGAGAACATCAAAGCAAATAAACAATTTATTAATTATTTTATGTACTTCAGCGACAGAAGCGTGCGGCACCAGGACATGAAAATGCCCTAGAAGTTGGAAGAAAAAGAATGAGAAGATCCTGGGAAGAGATTTTTGGTACCGAACAGTGCATTTTTTGCGCATGTAAAAATGCGTGCTTGCACCTTTTTTTGCCCCCATAAGAATGTGATTTTGTTGTTTATTTGTTGTTGTTCGTTTTGTTTCGGTTTATTATCTCGTGCTGTTTCACTTTATAACGCTGAGCATGCTTATCGCATTTGCTTTTGCATGTAGTTAGCATTTGTAATAAACTATAAGTCGAATAATTGTTTGCATGTATTTATCCTTCTCAAAAATTCAGCCGTCAGCATACCTGTCTGTAGCAAAAGAATGGGGAGGTTATTAGTGCAACGACAATAAGCTGTCAAATCTGTACAGTATACTTGGGACCGAATCGAATAATTATTCGATCATTCGAATAAATCATTCGAATGCGAATGATTCGAAAAGTCGAATATTCGAAAATCTGAGATTTCGAATAAAATTCGAAAGTCGAATATTCGAAATTTTCAGTTTTCGAATATATTCGATAATCGAATATTCGAAAATCTTCATTTTCGAATATTATTCGAAAGTCGAATATCCGAAAATCTTAACTTTCGAATATTATTCGATAGTCGAATATTCGAGGGTCATTCATTCGATCATTCGATGTCCATCAAATATTCGAATATTCGTTGAGCACCGAATATTCGGAAATTCGATAAAAATTGACTATTCGAAAATTCGATAAGCACAGAATATTCGAAAATTCGACATGCATAGCGTATACAGGGTGTCTCAAAAGTATTTATACACCGTTTGATCGCTAATTCCTCTCAAAGTCTTTTGCCAATTTCTGAGTAACATCCAGTAGGGATGGCTTCAGCTTATAGATACAGCAGAAAGCGAATCACACCCATGTTTTTCTATGTGTTATCACTTTAGGAAATCGGTATAGACCAACTGCAAAATAAACATCCAAAAAATTGTCACCAAAAAAGGTCTAAAATCTGTGCAGCAGTGTTTCTACGTATACTAATTTTACTACGCACGAGTTTTCAAGCTTTTCAAATGGCAGTCACATTTTTGAAAGCCGTTGCAAAACACTTGTTACGGTGTACCTGGTGCAAGTTTCGAAGAAAAAGCATTACGGTTGAGCGCAAATTCTACATAAAGTGGGTGTCTTCAGAAGTCTAATGCAAGACTTTCGGCCCTTTTAATTCTTTTGCTTGGGGAAATGGCTCTTGATGTTTCAAAACACGCTTCAATCTTACGGTATTTGTACAACAGTGAAAAGCGATTGATAAAAAGCCACATATCTAAGTTGATGCCAGCCTACAGATCTAGATACTGTTGGGACCGCTCTATATCCAATCGCAACTCAGTGTATAATATATATGAGGGTATATAATTTTTTTTGAAGTACAAAAAATCTCTTCACAACCGTCACAGGGGTAGCTTTTAGGTTCCTAAGTCTCTTCACGTCACGATTAAACCGTTTTTCCATCGTAAATTGTAACATAACAAAGTGTCCATTCTCAAAATCTAGATGAAACATTTTATTCTTAGATGTTTTGGCCTTTCATAGGCATATTTAGAGTTTAATGAAGTTCGAAAATAACTTGAAATCTTAAAAGAAATATATTAAATAATTACACGCATTATTGTTCGATCTTATCATTGCAATCGATTTTATACAAAATTGTTAAAGGTCAAAAACGCACGAAAATGCAATCAATAGCAATTTTTTAGATAATCCGGTCAGTTTTCTGACAAAAGTCGTAAAACTTATCAGATGATTACTTCAAACAGCTAGTAAGCCAGCTTTGCTCGGTACTTTTTGAAACTCCCATAGCACAAAAATAGGAGTTTTAAGTTGGTGCCAGACGGAAAAATCGCACTTCTTGACCGTCTCCCTTTCATAGGCAGTCTCAATGATGCAAATTATTCGATCAGTATTCGAAAATCGGATGATATTCGAAAACTGAATAACATTCGAGAACCGAATAATATTCGAAATTCGAATAACGAATGATATTCGATATTCGAATATTATTCGATTCGAAATTTTTATTTTCGAATAATATTCGATAGTCGAATATTCGAAATTTCCGATTTTCGAATAATATTCGAAAGTCGAATATTTGAAATTTTCAATTTTCGAATAATATTCGATAGTCGAATATTCGAAAATTCCGATTGTCGAATATTATTCGATATTCGAATATTCGAAATTTTCAATTTTCGAATATATTCGATACTAGCTGGCTTGCCCGGCTCCGCCGGGCCTGCCAGCTAGACCCGTGTACGTATGTTCCGAATAGAAATTTTTATCTCTGAACCGATTGGGACCGAACTTTGCACACATACACTTCGGGGCAGGGAGCGTGTCACAGCCCACTTTTCGTTATCGATCGATATCGATTTTATTGATTTTTTGCAAAATTCGAGCTAGAGGGCTGGGATTTGGCAGAGGGGGGTAATCGAGCATGCTGATCACCCCCGTGGGGGTGATCAGCATGTTCGATTACCCCCCTGTGCAAAATCCCAGCTCCCTAGCTCAAATTTTGCAAAAAATCAATAAAATCGATATCGATCGATAACGAAAAGTAGCCTATGACACGCTCCCTGCCCCGAAGTATATGTGTGCCAAGTTTGGTCCCGATCGGTTCAGAAATAAAAATTTGTATTCGGAACATACGTACATACATACAGACAGACAGACATACAGACAGACATACAGACAGACAGACAAACAGACATTCAGCTTTATATATAAGATTCGAATATTCGAAAAAAATTTCGAATTTCCCCAAGTATACTGTACAGTCTTCAGAAACAGGCGGCATATCTTTAAAAGGAAAGCGGGACAATATTGATATTAGCCCGCCAAAGGCACTCCGCTCGTCCAGTTTGATGTACGAGCGGACGAGCGGAGTATTATTGGCGGCAGAGTGGAGGGAACAACATGGTCGCCCGCTAAAGGTACTCCGTTCGCCCGCTTTACATCTCTAGCGGGCGGGTGGCGTGACTCTAAAGGACGAGCGGCGGGAGGCATGATCGCCCGCCCGGTAGAGGCCCGCCGCTTGTCCGAGTTATTGTCTGAGATAGTGCTCGATTTTTTTGAATTGAAAACTATCACCCACTTTGAAACTTTGACTAGCTTCTGAAAGATCGCTGACGAATGTGTAGCTAGTAAAGTACTGCCAGAAATTCGACACGACCGGAGCTGTAGTTTGCATTCGCAGAGTGAACTGACTCTTCAAGCGTAAGCGTTATCTCTCATATTTGACACGAGAATACTTGTTGAACGGGAGATGCAAACATTTGTAAGGGATCGGTCAGAGTTTGCCGGTGTTGCAAGTGTTGACGGTGTTGTGTTGTTGTGTTGTTGTGTTGTGTGTTGTTGTTGTGTTCTGCAGCGTTTTCAAATATTGGAGATTGCCTATTCCAGACAAGCCGTCCACTTCCCAAAAAGATTGTTTGAGTATCTTTTGCGTGCGAAAATCTCCCATCATTTCAATTTCATTTCTCATTCCCCAATTCCATTTCCAACATATTCACCGCCGGTGAGATCGTTCGAGAAAGAATGAAACTGCTAGACTGATGATCTCCGTTCAACACTTTCAACACTTTCAACTCAGACACTTTTTCCGACGGCCCGCGCCCCTTGAGCGTGCGAGCGCTCATGCCTCCCGCCGCCCGTGGAATGAAGGTACGCGGCTCGCTCGCTGGAGGCGCGCCGCTCGCCCGCTCCTTCGAAAGCGTTGTAGGACCCTATTGTAATACAGATAGCAATCCTTTGATAAAATTCATATTTTGTTATTGAAATACGACCTCATAGCGTCAGATTTATTGCCAAACATGTATACAGGTATGATGATGGCAGATTTATTATCCAAAGACTTATAGAACGACATAATACAGAATCAAAAGCAGAACACAACAGGCAACAACTATAAAATCATCAATACCTTTGCACCCTGTTGAAAACACGTAAAGCACAGCAGCCATGCTGATACCGAGAAAGCACTATTAGATACCGGTAAGAATGACCTAATTGAGTAAAAAAACCGGAATCCTGTCAGAATCATGACACTGAGGCAGTGAACACGGAGATTTTGATGAACGCTCAAAGCAAGGTACCATTATATTACGAAAGATGAAACACTAAAGATAAGACACTGAACAATACTTGAAAAGAAAACACAAAAAGAAAAACCTAGACAAATCAATTTTTTTCTGGAGGAGACGTTGGAAAAGAAGTTACGCAGATGTTGACAGGCGTTAGCTGATGATTGAGTTGCTGCTACGTAATCCTTCTTCGGTTAGTAACTTCGGGGTGCGGGCTGCCCTGTCAATGTGCAAGATTCCGTTTTCAACACATTCATGAAATGATCTAGGCAACGGAAGAGGCCTTAAAAAAACAAAGTCTAAGAAACATAATAGAAAGGAAAAAGAGCAAAAGCTATGAAACTTGTGGAACTTCTAATTCCATCTGGATATCTGAGGGTGCCCCTTCGTCTTCGACAATATTTTCCACAAAAGGATTCTCTCTACTGAAAAGGAAACTACTAGAGGTAATAAAACCAGATAACAAACATACCCAGTGAGACATGGTGGAAAAACAGGTCTAGGCTTCGCATACGTTTGTGGTCCTCCAGATTCACGCTTGAGACTGACCGCGGCCCGATACACCTTTCAAAATATTGTAATATCAGGAAAAAACATAGCAAACAACTCTGGTGATTGCACCAAAAATCCGCACGAAAACGTCTCCCTGCATAGTTACGGTAGGGGTCGAAATCACAAATCGGCAAATGTATCTTTTCCCTGTGTTTTGCTAGGCAAAAGCCGCAGCAGGGTTGTAGCGTACGGCGGTGGTCGTGTGTGCAAAGTTTCACGATCGTCCGAATCGCCGTACACCCGTTTCAGGCAGAACTACGTTTTACACCCGTTACCGTGTAGCTACCGTAATCCGAGAAAGTGACGCTACGGTTCAAAACCAATGTGATATTTAGCATCAGCGGGCCGAATAACCCCTCTGGGCCAAGTTTCGGGCAAATCTATGATTTTGACCCCCTACCGTGTACTTACCGTAACCCTGCAGCGAGGCGTTTTCCTGTGAGAAAAGGGTGATATTCGTGATCAGCACGTCATATAACCCCTCTGGGCCAAGTTTGAGAGAAATCCATGGCAAAAAAATTTGGGGCCCGGATAGCCGAATAGCGGACGCAATACGGACGCTAAGATGCTACGGAATAGGGAGCGTATGGATGACAATGACTGTGCAAATGTGAACCAGAAAAAACTACAAAGAATGGAGACGATTAGCCGGCAAAACGGACAAGCAACCAACGATGCGATAACAAATGCAACCTCCTGCGGCTAACAACGAATTCAAAATGATGCTTACGCGTCTTGTTAAGTACATGTTCGTTGTTCTTACATATTTGTTCATGGCGCGCCGCTCGCCCGGTCACTCAAGATGGCGCGCCGCCCGTCGAAGGCAAGGCGCGCCGCTCGCACGGCAGGTTTCGATGGCGCGCCGCCCGTCGGAAACGATGCCACGCCCACAAATCTAGGCGCGCCGCTCGCACGGTAGGCTCATGAAAGCGCGCGGGCCGTCGGAAAAAGTGTCTGAGAACACTTGCAACACCGTCAACACTTGCAACACCGTCAACACTTGCAACATCGTCAACACTTTCAACACCGTCAACACTTGCAACACCGTCAACACTTTCAACACCGGCAACACTTGCAACACCGGCAAACTCTGACCGATCCCTAAGCGACAACGAAACGAAAAGAGCATTATAGATTCATTTCATTGAACAACCAAACAATGTTAATTGAATGGTAGCTTCATAACGCGAAAAGCAAGTGGGTTCTTGGTTTGATGTTGCATAAAGGTCAGACATACTTCACGCCGTGTCATCGCCTTAGCAAGAAAGTTCACACTTGTCTTTATGCTAAATCACAAAGGAATAAATTTGCTTTTTTCAGTACGTTATATACGGCGTCTTGATCATTATCACGTCGAGTTTGTCAATTGTGAGGTTAGCACATAAGTTTCGCAACTTTGTCTATAACTTTTTAAAGGCACCGTCCACCCAAAGTGAGGGTTGATGAGATTTCGGTGCATACTAGTGTGGGGGCCCACACTAGTATGCACCGAAATCTCATCAACCCTCACTTTGGGTGGACGGTGCCTTTAAGTTGTGTATCCTCAAGTCATTTGTAACTTAATATGTGTAATGCACATAATGTGCCTTACTTGACGAACTTGCAAGATTAGGGCCTGCTCATTTCTAGTGATTTTTCCTTGTTCCCTTATCGCTTTTGATTTGATGGTTATCTACTAGTTAGCGCAACACATATTTACAGTTTATTACGCTGAAAAGGTTTTAACGAGGAGTTACTAGTAGGGTTGCCGTCGGCTGCCGTGCATAGTGTGCACATTCACATATTAAGTTACAAATGAATCGAGAATATATGGCTCTTTCATTTTATGGCGTTTTATATGTGGTGATCTACAAATGCGATTTTGGATTTTGAAAGTAAAATGGAAAATAATCGACACGTTCTTCGAGAATTGGTCAAATACGAGTATTTGCTGGGTCATAGCCAATCTAAGGCCGTCCTGAACATACTCAAGCGCAAGGATCCGGAACTATGAACAAAAGTGTAGTTACCTTGGTAGAACAAAATCAAGGAAGGAGATACGGAAGTTGAAGACAAGCCCCGGCCAGACCTCAAGAAGTCATTCGAACATGTCGTCAACGCCGTCGAAGAGCATCCATCGACGGCAACGCAGAAGCTGGCCGAGGACTTTTACTGCAGCCACACACACAAATTGAAAGAATACTGTACGATGCAGGCTGGTGCACTAGTGCGTGATTTTTCGAAATGAACTGACCGTCTTTTTTAGGGAAAAAAGTGGCTCAGGAGTTAATAGGCGCCAAAAGAGCTCACTGAATTTCAAAAGCAAAGACGCGTCGAGATTGCGAGAAAACTTTCGGCTAAAAATAGGCGAACGCGTTTTCAGGACATGGGGGTGACATGTGATGAAAAATGAATTGCGTATGTTAATGAGCGACGCCATGGCGAATGGCCGCCTATAGAGGTTTTCGGACACGCTATTTACGAAAATTTTGGTCTTTGAGGAATATAGGGTCTTTTTGCAGAGATATGATGAGGTAATTGTAACGGAGTCACGAAAGCTCGTAATTTCGCTTGCATCTCGCGTATCTGTCAGAAAACTTGCTTGCTGGTTTTTGTATGTTACAATTACTAAGAACTGTAGCATTAAAAGGTGCATACCTCAGGCTCCAGTCCATAAAAATCGCTAAGGTACGAGCATACGGAAACGCGTCCTCATGAATTCTGCCAAAAATGCGAAGATCGCATATTTCGTCTAAATTCCAACGTGAATGGTTATGACCGAATATTATGTTCACTTCACCCAAAGATTAATTGTATTCATATGGCAGCTGCTCAGTTAAATATCAGAGCAGTTTCGTAGTTAAAGCTCAAATCAATCTAACTATCAAATCGAACACTAGAAGATTTTTCAAGCAATGTGAAAAAAATTGATTGGCGTGTTATACAACATGAGGAATTTTGACGATATATGCGATCTTAACATTTTGAGCAAAATTCGAGAAGATGTGTTTTCGTAGGCTCGTACCTTAGCGATTTTTATGGACTGGAGCCTGAGACATGCATTGTCCGATGACACAATTCCCAGTAAGTTTAATCTATCAAGCGGGCAAGTTTTCTGACAGATACGCGACAAGTGAGGCAATGTTACGCACCTTCGTGACTCAGTTACAGTACCTCACCACATCTCTGCAGAAAGAACCCAAATTCCTCAGTGACCACAATTTTCGTGAGTAGCGTGTCTGAATACCTCTATACTTTGTTTCCTCACAATCCGAGATCATCAACATTCTGACTAAAATCCATCGGCGAGCTTCACAGCGTAAGAGGAGAAAAGGTCAAATAACCCGAACATCTCGAAAATTTGCTCAGAGGGATTATTCGACATGCTAATTACGATAATCATAGCTGCTACGAGAACTTTATATTTTAGGATTATGGTGAGTAAAATTTAGAACGATTTGTTTTTTCAGAATCCACCAGCCCTTCCTATTTCCTTCAAAGAGAAGTCCGCGGCTAATTTTTAGCACTGAAGTAATATCGAAGGTTCTTTGCTGAAATTTACCAACAATAAGAGCAATGCGCGCTGCTTTACCTA